GAGAGCTTGGAAGCAATATTGTAGAAACTCCTCGAATGATTTCACTAGCCAGGTTTGTAAAACTGCTATTAAGGGCTTTTTGAATGTGTTGTACAAATTATTTTATGGAAAAATGCTCACAGTCTAATTTATTGAGTGTAGCCCTAGAAAAAAGTGTGTTCTTGAGGAATTCACATCTCTCTCTCTCTCTCTCTCTTTCTCTCTCTCTCTTAAAATAGAATGACAATTATGTCATCTCTCCTTTTTTCCTTGGTGCTGTGACATTCAGAAGAAAGTTCCACTTAAGCGTAAGGCGGGAGTTTTTCTAACCCTGGGATGTCTGTTTTTCCCCCATCTTAATTGTACTTGCTCTTTACTGTCAATTTAAGGATTGTATTATACTTAAGTCTTGTTTTTATTGTTACTTCAGGTTACTTTTAAAAGTAAGATCATGTTATAAATAATCAACAAGATTTAGAGCAGAAATAGATGGCACCTACTAAAAAGGTTTGGAGAAGCCCTGGCCAGGTAGCTCATTTGGATAGAGCATCATGCTGATATACCAACGTTGTGGGTTCAACCTCCAGGGAGGGCATATATAAGAATCAACCAATGAATGCATAAATAAGTGGAACAATTATGTCATTTGGCTATGTTGCTATAACTGAGGCATGCCATAAGGACTGATATTTTGTTGCAGAATTATTTTATGATTGCGATAATGAAGCTTTGCAGACTTTAAAATTAGATTTTATCAAAATACATAAATGCAAATTCTTATAATGACATCATATATAATTTCTCACAAAAACATGGGTAAAGCTTAATAATTAAAAAAGTTTCCAAAGTTTATTTATACAGTAAATGTACATAATTAATATATGTGTATTCTAAGTAGGGTTTAATGAATGATCTAAAGGATGATAGAATTTAGCAAAATAAAATAAATCAGAAATATGAAGAAAATAAGACAATGCATTAGGGGTCTAGTTGGCACAAAAAAAAGCCATAGAGTCTTGCTATAGATAGGCCAAAATTTTAACTTCCTAGTAGCCTACATGAAAAGGAAAATTATCTGCTCAGATAAGCCAGAAGAACTTGTAATAATAAATCTAGAAGAATTTTTATTCTCTCAGGATTTCTTGGAGAAAGTACTTTGAAGTAGATTATCTTGTCTCTTGATTGGTACAGTTACCATTATGTGATTGATACTAGTAAATTATAGTGCTGTAAGATTTTTACATGAATCTAATTAGTTTAAGAAATTTCCTAGCCCTAGGTGGTTTGAGTCAGTGGATAGAGGGTTGACCTGTGGAATCAAAGGGTTCCAGGTTCGATTCCAGTCCAGGGCATGAACCTCGGTTGCAGACTCCTCCCCAGCCCAGGCCCTAGTCAAGGATTGTGCAGGAGGCAATCAATTGATGTGTTTCTCTCACATTGATATTTCTCTCCATCTTTCACTCTCTCTAAAAATCAATGGAAAAATATTCTCGGGTAAGGAAGAAAGAGAGAGAGAAAGAGAGAAATTTTAATGCATTAAAAATGAGGTCACCATTTTCTCTCCTTATTAGCCAATAGAACAGGCTCTGTGGGATGGGAGGGAGAAATCTTGTTTGGCAAGACAAAAATCAAAGATAATATTTTATTCTACTAAATTTTTCTTTTCTTTCTTTTTCTTTTTCTTTTTCCTTTCTTTTTTTGTTTTACTAATTTTCTTTTCTTATTTATTGAGATAACATTATATAAATTTCAGATATGTAGTCTTATAATTTGATATTTGAATAATACAATATTGTGTACTCATCACCCAAAGTCAAGTTTCTTTCTATTACCATATATTTGACTTCCTTTACCCAATTTTCCCTTCTCCCCACAACCTTCCCCTTTGTGTGTCTTTTTTCTTCACCAGGTTAGGGAAATTTTTAGCCATTATTTCTTCAGAGTCTTGACTCTTGTCCTTCTGGTACCCAAATGATGCAGATGTTGTTATCCCTGATGTTGTCACAGAGGTCCCTTTTTTTGTTCTGCTTGGATGTTTTCTATTATCTTGTCCTCTAGATTACTGATTCAATCCTCTGCTTCTTCTAACTTGCTATTGATTCCTTCTAGTGTACTCTTCATTTCAAATATTGTATTCTTCATTTCTGATGAGTGGTTTTTATTTTTTTAATTTAAAAAATATATATTTTATTGATTTTTTTTTTTACAGAGAGGAAGGGAGAAGGATAGAGAGCTAGAAATATCGATGAGAGAGAAACATCGACCAGCTGCCTCTTGCACACCCACTACTGGGGATGTGCCCGCAACCAAGATACATGCTCTTGACCGAAATCGAACCTGGGACCTTTCAGTCCACAGACCAACGCTCTATCCACTGAGCCAAACAGGTTTCGGCGTTTGTATTTATTTTTATGGTTTCTATATCCCCCTTTTTTTAAAAAAAATATATTTTTATTGATTTTGTACAGAGAGGAAGGGAGAGAGATAGTTAGAAACATCGATGAGAAAGAGTCATCGATCAGCTGCCTCTTGCACACCCCCTACTGGGAACATGCCCGCAACCAAGGTACATGCCCTTGACTGGAATCGAACCCGGGACCCTTTAGTCCCCAAGCCGATGCTCTATCCATGAGCCAAACCGGTCTTGGCTCTATGTCCTTTTTAATGCTTACTATCTATTTGTTTAAGTTCTTACTGAGATCCTCCATTCTTCCCCAATGTCCTTGAGCATTTTTATAACCATTGTTTTAAACTCTGCATTTGGTTGCTTCTATTTCATTTCATTGTTTTGCTGGGCATTTCTCTTGTTCTTTCATTTGGGGCATATTTCATTGTCTCCCCATTTGTCTTCCTTTTGTATTTTTCTCTGTGTATTATGTAGCTGTGTTATGACTCCCAAGCTTGTTATAATGACTTTATGATGTAGGTGTCTTGTGGGGCTCAGTGGTGCAATATTCCTCATCACCAGGAATATCTCTTGTATGGGTTGTGTGTGCTCTCCAGTTGTAGTTGAATCTCAAATGCTGAATCATTCATGGGTGGAGTTAACCTTCATGCTGGCTGACTATAAGGTTAGAGTTAATCTTCATGCTGGCTGACTGTAAGGTTAGACCTCGATCGTTGTGTATGAGTCTCTCTGAAGGGGCTGTTCCCCAAGGAGAAGTTATTCTCAGCAGGATCTGATGCCTGCCGGAATCCCCCTTTGGATGTACCACTAATCTGAAGTCAGGGTGGTAAAGCCATTGGTTGTGTTGGTTCTGGGTCCACTTGGGTAAAGTTCCAGGGTAGGTCAATGTCAGACATAATGTGTTACTGGCCTTGAGCTACCTGTCTGGAGCTACTTTGTTATTCACTATTTGTGGCTATGTCTACTGTGCCTGGGTGTATGTGGAAGGAGCAAAGCTGTGTACAAAGGCCAGCTTCCTCCAGCTCTGAGCCAGGGCCAGATCTATAAAAGATCCAAGGCTCCCTGAGGTCCACCTCCACCTGTCAGCTACTCTGCCATCCCCTGAGGTTGCCTCCTTCAGAGCCTTCTGAAGAAAAACGATAGAGTGGGCCAAGGCTGGACATGACCCACAGATCCTAACACAAGACATGAACTTGGTAGGGTGGGGTGACCTGGGTCAGGAAGATGGGCCTCGTAGGTCTCCTTTTTGGGGAGCAGCTCAATTAGGGGGGAAAGTGGCCCCTACTCCAAAGTCATGCCACTCAGTTTCTGCCAGAGTCTCCAACCCTAGCTCCCCCAGGAGAAGCACCTGGCAGGTTCAGGTTGGGTGCAGCCAGCCAGCCCTTCTCAGGAGCAAGCTTAGTTGGGCAGAACCACCAGGACTCAGGAGGACAGATCAAAAGAGCCTCACAGTTGGAGTAGTGAGCAGAGCCTGCAGAGGAGGGCAAGCATGTCACTTCTTCCCTGCTCCCTAACCACACAACCTAGTGCCTGTCGGAGTCCACGACAAAAGCCTCCAAGGAAGACATGCTCCAAAGGTCCCAGCTCTGAGCGATACTCCCTTCTGCCTCAGAACTGGGATCAGCAGGGTTGGGCAACCGATTCATGGGAGGACAGATCAAAAGAGTCTCTCACCGGGAATGGTGCTTGCCAAGCCTGCTGGTGGGGGTGCAAGACTGGCCCCTGTTTTAAAGTCACACAGCTTAGTGACTGTCTGAAGGTCCACCTAGTGCTTCTCCAGAAAAAGACCACATCAAAGGTCCCTGTTATGTGCAGCCAACAGACCTTTCTATAGGACTTGAGCTGGGCAGGGTGGTGTCGCCTGGATTAGTGCACTCCCCAAATGGTGTAAGAATAGGAGTTCTGGACCCTGGGAAGATGGTACTCAGCACAGGGACCTCAGTGGGTAACCCTCCAGATCTTTCCTCGGGGACACACCCCAATCTTCTTTTTATGACTCCCATATGACCTGAGTCACCTCTCTACCGGAGCCCCATGTGAATGTCCAAGAGCAAAATCCTGTGCATTGGCCCTTTAAGAGAACACCTGGGTTTCTAACAGACTGCTTCCTCTTCCAGGTTGACAGAGTCTCAGCTAATTTCCACTGCCAGGTGCTACGCAGACTCCTTTTCTGGGCTCTGGTTCTCTGGGTTGGGGAATCCCATCCTGGGGTTGAGACCCCACATTTCTCAGGAGGGGCTCTTTGCAGCCGAGATATCCTTCTGGCTTCTCAGCCCCCTTCTGGGTGCAGGGGCCAGATCTCTCTGCATCGCCACCCTTCTTACCAGTCTCTATGTGGCTTCTTCTGTGAATCCTTGGTTATAATACTGCTATTCAGCTGTCTCTCCATTGGTTTTCCAGGTTGATTGCGCTGTAATTTAACTGTAAACCCGGTGTGGCACTGGGAGGAGGTGAGTGTAGCTTCTACCTGTTCCGCAGCTGTCCCCACGTCTTCACTGTCAATGGTGCTTATTCCCTTTGAGCCAGAAAGCAGGGCTCCGGGTTGTAAAGAGTTTCCAATGCCCCGCCAAGGCAGCTGACCACACCGTCTTGCCCCTTTTCCACTGTCTTGCAGACCAGACGACGTGCTCCTGCATCGCACACATGATGAGATTGTCCTCCTGCATTGCTTCCTCTGGCCCCTGGTGACATTTGTGGTGGGCGTTCTCATTGTGGCCCTGACCATCTGTGCCAAGAGCCTGGCCGTGAAGGCAGAAGCCTTGAAGAAGCGCAAGTTCTCTTAGAGGGGAGCAGACGCGTGGAAAGCAAAGCACAGAAGCTGCACCCATTGGCTCACATCTGCCTGCAGAGCCTGTTTCCGGCGCAGGAGATGGAAGGGGCTGTGAGAGGTCTCTGAGAGGCTCCTCCCTTGATGCAGCAGCAACAGGCACAACTGGAAGACCTAGAACCTCATAGATAACGTTCTGTGTGTTGTAGCCATGGCTAAAGGGTCCAGCTCTTAGCTGTATGGAGTACATTTCAGAAAATCTGATAAAATGTTAATTTTTTTGAAAGTCACAGTGTATAATTGTACAGTGTAGTATACAAATTATTATGATTTATGGTATTTAAAAATATTAAACTAGAGTGGTCTGTGTTCTTTTCTATTTTCTTTTTTATCCTTAAAACAACACCCGGGTTCAAAAAAAAAAAAAAGTTCTGGGTTTCACTTGATTCACTTTGACGTGGAGATGAGGATTCCTGCACAAATCTTGTCTTCCCCATATAATTTAGTTTCCATTGTTAAAGAGTACCATTTTGGGCTTTTGCGTGAAAAAGGAATACTGCTCTGTTAACTCAGTCTCCAATCACTTCCATGGCCCTTCAACCAGGGACACTCAAAGATTGGAAAAACATCCTCTAACACTTGCCTTTGTCTATCCATTATTTTTCATCAGGTTTTTAAAAAGAGAGGAACATGATTCTGAACAAGGCCTGTACTAACTCTTAGAGCATTGCACTCCTCTATTCATCTTGCTCATGTTTATTTTGGACGGATTTTGTCCTTGTGCAATAGAAGGTACATGATATGAAGGACATGTACAATACATTGTTGAAAATGCTGTTTTCATTTTTTTTTAAGTCAGAAAAATTATTTGAGACCCACCCATTTTGTTTTGATTTTCTTTGTCCTTGCCTTGAGGTTACCAGCATTAAAACAAGACTATTGCTGATGTTGCGTTTGCTTGGACAAACCTGGTGATGCAGCCCAGCTCAACATCACGGCTGAGCTTTCTTTGCCTTTATCCAAAGTTCATTGAGGAGACCAGACCGCTCTGAATCTGCTAATAAATTCAAATTTCAAATGTCAATCCCAGGTCTCGGTGAATATCAAACCTACCCTATTTATTTTCCAGGTAGAACCAACCCTTTGTTTAGATGGAATGTCACATTTTTAGTGGAAGAACACCTGACAATATAAATTTTTTTTTCTTCTAATACTCTTGGGACATGCTTCAGGTAAAATAAAGGCAATTTAAAAGTTAAGGACAAGCTCCCCTCAACTATTTGCTCAGGGTTCTACGAAAGGTGCATATTAGTGGAATGATGCTTTCTGACTTTTAGTCCACATACCACACAGTTTTCTTAATTTTAGAATGCAAGTAAATTGAGAGAGCCCTAGTCTTCAATGGAAGGGTGCTGGATGAGTCTGGTAATTTCTTCCTCATTCAAGTGTTGCAGGTGGCACTGTGAAAAAGGCACTGAACGCACTCTTTGTCACATTCTTTTGAGGCAGCTCCAGTGCCTTGACTTCAATCCAGTTTTCTGTGGCAGCATCCCTGTTGTCTTAGCAACACAGCAGACCATTCTGAAGCAGTCACACAAAAATGGGACTCAGAAAATCATCATCTTTGCATCACTTTGTGGGAGATGAAGTCTACTTTATTCATTTTATCTTAATACAATAACCTATGATTAATTGATTACAGAGAGTAGACAAAAATAGCACATGGACATATGTTAAGTGTTGGAAAAGGGGGAAATTTTTCATCTATCAGTTTGGTACTCACATATTAACTAAATGCCAATATTCAGGCCCAAAGAGTAGGTTGAGTTTTGGAAAAGAGAACAAGCACACTGAATTAATGAGCTCACCTGTAGTTTTAGGGTCTTGCTTACAACCAGTTAAATTTGAGACTTCTTATACTTGTCATTAGGAATAAAGAGAGGGCATTTTAAAGATCATAAAAGATAAGCTTAACTTCTTAATATTTTAATTTCTCTTTTGTATAAGTGAGAAAATATATTTTATCTTTTTTGTGTGTAAGTGAGAAAAGGGTTTAAGGCCCCAAAATGTGATTGCTCACATAAGGCAATTTATTTCTTCCTCATGTAATATCCAGAGGTGGTTGAGAAGTAGTAGGGCTGCTCTGTTTCACCAGGGAATTAAGGGACCCAGGATTCATCCTCATTGCCAAGGGCAATGGTCAAAGCTGGCTCAAAGAAGCACTCCCACTGTGCCACCTGTCAAAAGAGGAAGTTGGGAGCAAGCTATTTCCTTTAAAGGAAGTTTGAACCATCACTTCTGCTCAGTCCATAATCACTTACTACATAGCTATACCTTGCTTCAAGGAAGGCTGAGATATGTCCAGCTGGATGGACATACGTTCTACTAAAACTCCAGAGAAAAGGTTCTATTATTAAAAGGAAAAAGGGGAGAATGAATGCTAGACAAAAGGGAAAGGAAGATGTATAGCCATCAATGGTGTAGGCCATGATGAAAAGCTGAACAGGACTAAAGAAGATCCTTTGCCAAGAGAAAAGGTCCTTGATTAAACCTTGAATCTGCTGTCTGGGAGAAACTCTTGTCCATTGTTTTCTGTGGCCCAGTTTGACTTCTAAGAAATGCTTGCTTCATCAGACTTAGAGATACATGTGAGTCCTGGAGCGGGAGAGCAGCGCAGCTTTGCCGGCCCCTGCCTGCTAGTGCAGATTCGTAGACGTAGGTAGATTTCCTTAGGACTTGAACAAACAAACATAGGCTTGTATAGGCCAGGATTATAGTGCATTTGGCTGCGAGAAAGAGGCCATCTCCATTTTTGATGTTTGCCGATAGCTTTCAAGCCTCTTCGAGTCCCTCTCCTTTCCTGCTAATCTCACCTGGACAAACTGATTAGCAAGCTGGGGTGTCTTCTTTGGCCCAGGTGGGAAATTCAAATCACACAAACTCTGGCCTGAATGCAGGAACCCTCCCCTCAGCTTCACACCCTAAGAACATAAGAGCCAAGCCAGTCAAGCCAGTTTTGGATCTGCTCAGGATCTTGCCCTGCTCTCCCCAGAAAGATTCATTATGTGAATAATAAACCTTTTCATACCTCTTGGCGTGTGTGTGTGTGTGTGTGTGTGTGTGTGTGTGTGTGTGTATTTATTGGTCTCAGCACCCAAACCAAATTTGGGGTGAGGGGGTCGATCTGAAGGTGCCCACAACCTTGGTGATAAAATTTCATCAAAATTAGGCTTCTGCTCTAGTTGCTTTCAGTTCATATAAAAGTAACCACAGCCTAAGGGCTATGCTTATAGTTCTTAAACCAGCAGCATCTTACTTTTAGTCTGTGCTTGGCTCAGACCCCATCCCGCAATTTAATCGTAGCCACCTTGAACCTTTTGTAACAATACCTTTAAGTGGGAATGCAACACCCTTTATCTTATCTTTTCTGCTGAGCTGGCTCCCATTGTCTCACAATAATACTTAATGGAGACTCTAGAGAAAGACGGAATACTACTAATCTCCTGCTGTTTGGAGGAGGGAAGCAGTTGAGCTGCAGGACACATCTTAAATTAGCTGTCTCACCTCAACAATTTTTCATAGCCTTTAACAAAAAAACAACAAAGAGCAGCTAATGCACGTCATAACTCTGCTTTTCTTCTACCTACATTGCCCAGTGCTACAGCTCTGCCCTCTGAATTGTGGCTAGTGACAGTGTACCTAATGGTTAGCCAAGCATAACAAGGGTCTCTGAATTTTTCATCCTGTAATATCTGTTTCCTCACTGCTGGCTGCCCAGCTACAATGCCAAAGCCACATAGTTTAGATTTGTGTTATGTTAGGGATATTCTTTACATTGACTCTGTCTGAATGGGCTCAGCTGATGACTCCTGGATCTGGGATCTGTCCTCACCTATCCCATTCTCCGGTTGCATATTGCATAGCTCTGATGCACTCTTAGCCTCTGTCTCAAGCTTAGTGATGGGCAGACAATGCGGTGACAGGGTAAATAATGGGACAAAGTATTATCAGACAGCATGGATGGGGAACCATTTACCTGGCTCAGATAGTTTGTTCTTCTGAAGAATGACTGAAATATATCAAGCAATTTGACAACCTTTTGGGACTATCTCAACATTCCCATCGCATATCACATAGTTCAGATACACTACTTTTCTTGGGGCCTGGGCATGTGTGGTCCTGCCCATGACATGGGCCTCTCTTCTCATCATGTAAGCAGATCTATTTTTTTTTTTCCTCACCTGAGGATATTTTTTCATCAATTTTTTTTAGGGAAAGTGAAAGGGAGGGAGAGAGACAGAGAGAGAGAGAAAAAAAAATCAATCTGAGAGACATATCAATTGGTTTTCTTCTCAACCAGGGACAGGGATTGACCCTGTAATCGAGGTATATGCACTTGACTGGATTCGAACCTGAGACCTCAGGCTGATGTTTTATCCACTGAGCCAAAATGGCTCAGGCTTGTTGACCTTTTTGTACATGACAAAATATAATAATAATAATAATAATAATAATAACCCTAACCACCTCTTATTAAGTGCTTTCCATGTGCATCTAAACCCTTCATCATATATCCAAAGCATAGTTAACCCTGGAAAAACTCTAAATTAATGAATGAACAAATACATATTGTAATTTTGGCCTGAAAATGAGAATTTATACTAAAGGTAGGCTAATGTTTTTATATTTAAATATCATAGGTTACTGTTTAAACAAGTGAATAGGGGAAAAGTCACTCTATTATTATCAAACTAGAGGCTCAGTGCATAGATTCATGCATGGGTGGGGTCTGGCTGGTCAGCCCTGATGGGAGCCGATTGGGCCAGGCTGGCAGGGAGAGAAGGGACATGGATGGTTGGGAGGGACGGGGGGAAACAATCGGGGCCATGATTGGGCTGGTTGACTACCGCAGTGCACATCGTATGACCGGTCATTCCTGTTGTTCCGGTTGTTCTGTTTTTCTGGTCACTGGGCTTTTATATAAATAGATTATTCCTAAATTTAGCAACTTAAACAGCAAACATGTATTTTCTCATATAATTTCTGGAAGTCAGAAATCAGGAAGTGGCTTAGCTGTAATTATAAATTATTCTTGGTGAAATTTTGCCTCTTAAATAAGTGTATGAGTTATGGTAACAGTGGAATATACATAAAAAGCAGGAGTCCAGCAGAATTACAATGGGAAATTTTTTATAAGAACACAATTGTTGATTTGATGGGCATCTTAGAACAAAAAATGCCCCAAGTCAATTGTCTGCATTTTTTAAGTGGCATGAAAAGTCTTCCAAAAGAAGTCACTGGCGACTTCAGGAGTAGACTTTACAATAACTTTAAGTAACTTTCAAAGGTAGGTACTGAAGCATATGGAA